ACTAGAACAAATTTCTTTGTTCTGTCTGATGACATGTTCACCCGAGAAGAAAAGAAAAAGACCAGTCGGCCCTTTAGCCGACCCTACTTTTACAAGATCCCTTCATTGTTTGTTTTCGAAGATGGAAAAGGGTTTGGGTGAGGGTGGTATAGGGGTAGTTATGGGAGGGCTTGATGTTGATGAGAGGGTTGAGAGAGAGAGAGGATTTTACTGCTGATAATTTCATAACCTCATATTTAGGACTCAAGGAAGAGAGACAAAAGTCGAAAAGGTAGGAGCTAATATTTGCCTACTGATCTTAGGTAGCAGAAAATATTTCGCTTAGAATATCAAGCCAAAAATGTTATGTCCACAGCCCATTATATATCTTGAAATTCCTTTGACCGATAACCCTAGATGAAAGTCGTTTTGGAATGGAGTGGTTTGAAAGGTGTCTAGGCATTTAGAAAATTGGAAAGAGGGTCTTTTTTCTAGAGGAGGTACGGTCACTCTTATTTAGGATTGTCTAGCTAGTCTCCCTATTTACTAAATGTCTCTGATTAAGGTTCCCTCCAATGTGATTAAGCACTTAAACTGTGTTATGAGAAAAAAAATTATGGGCAAGGAGTGGTGAGAGTAGGAGAGATCATTTAATAAATTAGGAGGTGTGTTGTCGGTCTAGAACTTTTGAAAGATTAAGCATCAGGAATATTAAATCTAGGAACTTGTAATTATTAGTTAAGTGGCTTTGATGTTTATTGCAGGAACCTCACTCTTTGTGGCATAAAGTTATCAAAAGTGCTCACTAGAGTCAATGGAATCCTTGGGATGTTATGGCTATGAGATCCACCCATCATAATAGTCCATGGAAGGCTATTTCAAGTTTGTTTAACATTTATAAGCCTCTTAGCATGTATAAAGTGGGGAACGGTTCTGAGGTCCTTTTAAGGAGGATCTTTGGATGGGTGACCGACCCCTACGTATCAAATTTCCACATCTTTTTTGCATATCTTCAGGCCACAATACCCTGATTGACTAGTTCTTTTGTCTTTCCAATGGTTCTCTAACTTGGAACTTTCACCTTTTTCATAGTTTGAACAATAGAGAAACTAATGAACTCATTGTCATGTTAAGCTTGCTACAATCATTTCAACCTCCCCAGCAATATTATTGCATGATATAGACTCTTGACTCATCGGGTATATATGCCTATAAATCATTTTTTATCATATAACAAAGAGCCCTGATTTTTACCAAAGCACTTTTACCATGGCTTTATGGCAAATCAAGGTTCCATTGAAAGTGAAGGTTTTCGTGTGGATTGTAATTCTAAACCATTAAACATCAATGAGTTGCTGCAAATTTGTAGGTCTAACCGAGTTTTGTCCCCTGACATGTATATTATGTGCCATAAGGGATGGGAAACACATAGTCATCTCTTTTTACATTGTGAAATGGTGTGGAAGCTATGGGTTACTTCGTCTTTTTTAGAATATTTCATCAACATCAATTGGTCGTTTCAACTTTAAGGTAAAGGTAAGGTCACTATAGCAAGGAACATTGCTTGTTGGTCTCTAGACCATATGGATAGAAAGGAAGAGGCTGATTTTTGACAACCGATCTTTGCATGACAACTATATTTAGGAGAAGATCACTTTTCTGACTTCCCTTCGGGCCAAGACTCATGGTCAATATTTAAAATCTCCCTTACTGTTCTTCATAGGAACCGGGATGCTATAGTGATGAGATTTTCTAGCTCTTCGATGCTTTCTTTTTTTTTTATATATTCTTGTATTGGATTTCTTTTTAGCTTCAGCTGGATAAATTATCCATCATTATCTTTGGAATGTTTTTCTCCCTATATGAATATTATTACTTTTTCTATCTTCAAAAAAAAAAAAAAGCTAAGTCCCCAAATTCATAATCATAATTAAGATGGTGACCCTTAAACAAAAACCAGGCTTTGGAACTCGAAGTCCCTAACTCTATTAAAAGAAAATATGAAAAAAGCTCCTCTGCTTTTCCTCCCTGCCAAATGGCCCACAAGGTACTGGAGTGGATATGAGAAATAACCTACGAAAGAAATAAGCTTCTTCCTACCCTTGGTCACCCTAGATACCAAATCAAGCCTAAATGTTATATGAATCTGACTAGGAATCACCATGCTCAAACCAAGAACTCAGCCACAATACACCATAATAGAAAAGAGAAGGGACACTACAAGAGAAGGTGGTCCTGTCTCCATAGCCCTTTTGCACAAATAACAACCATTTACCACAATCTTCTCTCTCTTCTTCTTATTTAAAAAAAAAAAGAATCTTCTCTTTCTTCTTCAAATTATCAATAATAAAGATTCCCACTGTCACAACCTACCAAGCCAAAAAAGTAATTCCAGGGGTAATATCCAATTTCCAAATAAGGTTTTAAGGGAAAGTGCCCTAGACGTGGTCGAATGGTGGAGGGTGGACACGATGCACGTAAATGGATCTCTAACAAAAAAGGAAAAGAAAAAAGAGTTGTTGGTGACATTTACCACACTACAACATCAGCCCCACAAGGAAAAACACTGCAAAGAGAAAGGTGCTAGAGAAGTCTAAAATATTAATCATCCTTCCGATCATTAAGGTTTCTAACAAGGTCCACCTCCCATACCACAACTATCTGAGACAGTGTGTATAACCCACTAAATATAGCCTTCTAAAATATGGTATATGGTTATATTTGAATCTAAAGATGTCATCCCAGTATCCTACCAATCCCAACTCCAAGGCCTAAAGCCAAAAAGCATCTCTATGCCTTTTAGCAACAAAACCGTAATCAACAAGCCCAAATAAAGCAACAATGAGATTCTTTTACAAGGCATCGATTGAGAAAAAGGCCACCACCACTTTGCACGCAACTCCTTAACAAACTTATTGATCAGATCTTATGCATAATCCCTTACTTTTTTTATTTGTCCTAAATACAAGTTATTATTAGACATGTCCCCTGCAACCACTTAGCATCTTCTCCATACTCTGCATTATCACCAATAAAGGAGCCTCGATACCAGTATCACATTCAATGTAGATAAGAGCTAAAGAATCTCCTATCAGTAGACACAGGAACTTTTGGGCCAAGTATCAAGAAAATGTCATAGTTGGACCCAAGTCCATTGCTCATATGGGCGACTCCGACCAAATACAAGAAGCTTGGATTTGTAGAGGACACCTTCAACAGAAGTAATGAAGAAAAGGAATATAAAGCAAGTCGACTAGACAAATCCAGTCTTTGAAAAAGATACCCAACCTTACCTCTTAAGCTAGACTAGACTAGAAGAGATTTTCTCTACACCACAACCTATGTACTTTACAATTGTAGAGGGCCTAAGGAGATTTGAATTTTCTAGTTCACCCCATCCATCTCATATGAGGATCCCTTCATCAACGTGGGTCCTTAGCTATCTCAGCAAAGGCTACAAACATCATGTACTAAAGGAGATGACATCTGCGAGGAGCTCATGATGCCCCTACAACAATTGAGTCCACTTGAGAGCAAAAAACCAAAAGTTGGATCCTTGCCTTCATGAAGATTCTTCCCTAAACGCTTCCCCTAAAACAAGCATTAGGCACCACCACTCATCAACCTGAATGCATCCATAAGGAAAGTCCTCCAATGCAACTTACTCAAAAGTCAACCAAGCCGAGTATCTTCCTCCCTTGTCTCACTAAGAAATAATCATAGCGTGTCTCTTCCCTCTTGGTGCTCCTAAGATGGGAAACAAGCTCCTTCACCTATATAAATTCATAAAAATGTTCAAAAAGCCAATCGAATTTGATGCCCACAATAGCAATGGAGAACCCAATTTCTTTCCATTTTATATATTTAAATAACACCCCCTACCAGAAGAGGTCAAAAGAAATCATCTCAATAACCAAGGATCTTCGGCCCTTGTCCACCTAAGGGGTAATCATAGAGTGTCCCTTCCTTCTTGGTGCTCCTAACATAGGGAACAAGTCCCTTCACCTCGATCACAAAAAGCTTCAAAGAGCCAGTCAACTTCAATGCCCACAATGGTGGAGGACACAGTCTCTTTCCATTTCCTGAGATTTTAACATTAAAATAAATGCCCCCACCCAGAAAGAGGTCTAATGAAGTCGTCTGAATAACCAAGGATCTCTATTGAGAAGAGACCAGCAAGGAAGAGGAAGTTAGACCAAAGGAGCATGCTTTGCACTAGAAGCACGATGTCCTATGTTTTTCCTCTCAAACAATAATTTTACTCTCTTTAGACCCAAAAAAGGAAAGAGTTCATGAACTATTTCTCATTCTAAACAGATAGGGAAAAAGTTAAAACTGTCCACAAACTCTAAGCTTCTTTAAGAAAACAGCGAAACTGAACGCCCATAATAGTAAAGTTAGATATTTAAATAACCTCCGTAGGGTAAAGAGGGAGAGGGGGAGAGAGAATGTGTGTGAGAGAGAGTATCGTTCTGCAACACAAAACCCAAAACTAGAGAAAAATCAAATCCCGAGAGTCAACCAATATCACATAATTATCGAGATGGAGAAAAAAAAAATCAGTAACAATGTCCACCAAAACAAAAAGTATTTTTTTAAGATAAACAACGAAAAGTATTAGTCACGCTGATTTGCATGATCATAAGAAAAATCCAGGAACCTAGATGATACTACTTTGGCAATGTGAATTAGCTCGTTTCAGCATTTGTTTTTATTAAACCATCAGTATCCTCAACAATAAGCTCAGTAAAAGAAGTGAAGGAGCAATAAGAGAAGTTATTTTTTACACCGTTTTGATCAGAACAAATAATGCTTCATTCAATTTATCATTCCTGATCTACGAGAACACACAAGGACTTAATCTACCAACGTATATGATGAAAACACGAGATGAAAAACTTCACCAACAGTGATCAACTTTACATAAAACAATCAATTGCGCTTCAAAAAAATAAAAACACAAACGCAAACATACACAAACTAACGAAAGACTTAAAATGTGAGAGAGGAATGAGATCTACCTGTTTCAGTTTTCCCGTGAGTTCAATCATGCGCCCTTGAATCTCGAGAAATGCCTGTATTCCACAAAAAACCAACACTTCAACTTTTCAGATATTTTCGTCGAAACTCTAAACGCAGGCGCAAACTTTTATTGTGTCTGTGTTTGTTAACTGATAAAATTCCAGGTTGAAAACTTCTCTATTTTCCCTTTCTACCGGATTTTCTCTTCTTCCAAACGGAATATTAAAAAAGAAAAAAGTATAACAAAGATAACCCAAGTGCAATGAATAGTTCTCACAGTTCTGTTTGCTTCATCGCCCATCCTACAGGGATCTTCAAATAACAGAAGATCTACACTTCCCTGCTAAAAGCAGCAAATATGAGCTTGAAAAACCCTAGAACTTCCAGTAAGCAATCCGTTAGGATTCGGTTTTATTCCCTGTTATGAATGGTTCAGCCCGGATTTTATCCGGCCTATGGTCAACTATCGCAGTAATGAAATATAAAATAATTAACAACAATTAAAATGCTCATTTATTAAATTTATTTAAATATATACATTACATATAATAAATTAGTTTATATTTACATAAAAATCGATGAAATTTGATATTATTATTTTAATTAATAAATTATAGATATTATGTTTTATTCTGATTTTATATTATTTTAAAAGAATAAAATCACATCATCAAATAAAAAATTAAAATATAAATTACATCACCTATACATTTTTTATAATTTCATAAAAATTGACACAGAAAATTATAAAATTGTTATTTGATTTCAGAACTTTTATTAAATTACAGAATTAACAACGTCCATTTACCGTTTTTTTACAATCATATGTCCACTCTCTATCATTTAATCACGTTATAAATTTCTCTGCTATCATAGCTCACGTTCTTTTATTTAATTACAAATCATATCAGTTTGGTTTATTTAGCTTGTTTTTTATTATAAAGATAGTCATAAGTCTAAACAATTCAAGAAAACTAAGAGTTTTCATACATATCTTGGGCTAAGAAATTCTCATGGCATTGATCGTAATAAGTTACTGGAGATCACTTGACATATGAGCATACTGATGAAGACCAACCTATAACATAAAACAAGCCAAAATTCGCTAACCAGTCAGCATATTTATTCTCTTCGCGATAAACATGTTGAACTTTAATTCACCAATCATTCAAAAATAAGTATCTGACAGCACGGACGATGGCAGTATGAGCATTAATAAAATAATCATCCTTGGTAAGTAGTTGCATAGTCGGAGAACTATCCATCTCAAGAATAATGTTGCGGTATTCAGCATTTTATGCGAGTTGAAAACCATCTATGGCCCCCTAAAGCTCAGCTTGCAGCACTAACTAGCTAACAATTTTCCTGCTAAAACTTCTGAGACACGTTCCACTCTCATCTTTGATACGGTCACTATAACAAGAGAGATTAATATTAGCACGATGAGCTCTATCAATATTCACTTTAACCCAACTCGAGGGAGGTTTCTGTCATCTAATAATCTCTTTAGATCTTCAAGTCATACCTGAAAAAATAAATTTATTCATATTGTTAGCCATAAGAGTATAATCAGTCATACGAAAAATTTCCTTAATCAGATCATCAACACTACTAACAATCCCCTAGAAAGTAAAATTATTCATGTGATTCCAAGGTTTCTAGCAAGTAAGACCAAAAATACTCTTTTATCTTGAAAATTCTTACACCAAGACCAACTATTCTGGAGATTCATCATGAACCAATCATTCATAGTATCCTTGAAAAAAAGATAGATGAGTTTGTTGAGGGATGATTTTTGACCAAATAAGCCTAGCATTGCTACATTTTCAAAGAACATAATCAACATCCTCAATAGTATTGCCACACATAATACAACCTGTATTAGATGTCATATATCGGAAGTGTCTCTCCCAATTAGTCAAGAGCTTATCTTTTATAATAAGCCAAAGGAAAGTACGTACATGTTGAGCTCCTGGCCAATGTCAAATTACCTTCAAATTCTTATCCTCCATATTCCAATGATCACTTTGTAGAAGAGTATAAACAGAATTAACTAAAAACTCTCCTGAACTTGACATACCCCAATAGTAAGAGTTAGGAAGGTTATCATCGTTAAGAAGTTGTATTGTCGTTATTTAAAGAAGAATGCTCGTCAGCAACACATGGTGCAAAACACTCAAATTCCATTGGCCAGATGGCACAATGAAGTCCCTCACACACTTCTGGACCTAATACTTGTCAATAGAAGTGAAAGTTAATAACTTAATAGGTCTAACATCACTTAACCAATAATATTTCCAAAATCTAACATTTTTTCCCGAGTCAATGGACCATTTGGTGCCTATTTTAAGGCAAACCCAAAAATGGTTTAGATTGCGCTAAAGATTAGAGGTTGACCCCCTCACATTGTAATTCCACGACAATCCTTGCCATTTATACTTATGAGTGAGATCCTAAACCTACTTAAAAGCCATTGTAAAGCCCAATTTCATCAAGAATGTTTTATTTTGATTGTGAATTGAGTGAATTCCACTTTTTCCTACATCACAAGGCATGCACATTTCCTTTTAATTAACAAGGCTAATTTTTTTGTTATCATTCACGTTGCCCCAAATAAAATTCCTAACCACTGCTTCAATTTTATCACACAAGGCTTTAGGCAAAGTCGTGGTCTGCATAGCATGAGTTAGGATGGTCATAAGAACAGACTTAGCAAAAGATAAGCGTCCTGCAAAAGAAAAAAGGTTAGGATTTCAACTAGACAACTTCTTATTGATTTTTTCAATGATGTAATTATAAATATCTTTATTGACCCTATCATGCAGCAAATGAACACCCAAATATTCACCAAGATTGCTTGAGATCTAAAAACTAAAATTGTTACTAATATAATTAGTCGTACCTAGGTTGACATTATGAGAAAAAAAAATAAGCGCATTACTCGCAGTTACTTTGTACCCCGAGCTAGCACAAAAGTCATCCAAAGCCTTCTTAATAGTCTGAGTTTGATCATCATTGGCTTTCCAAAAAGTTACTAAATCATCCATAAAAAAGAAGTGAGAAAAGGCAATATCATTTTTACTAAGGCGGATAGGCTTCTAAATATTATTGTTCACCAAGTAATTAATACAATGGAATAGCCACTCCATACATAAAGCAAATATATATGGTGATAATGGATCACCTTGCCTAATACCTCTAGTAGGCCAGAATTCATTCGTGTTCCACAATAATTACATGGTACAAGATGATATACAATGCATAATCACTCTAATAAGATTATGAGGGAAACCAACATCAATCAACGTATTCTTAACAAACTCCCAACGAATTCTATCATAAGTCTTTTCAAGATCCACCTTAATGGTCATCTACTTGTCTTTACCTTCCTCAACCCACATAAAGTGCACTGCCTTTTGGGTAATAATTGTCACATATCATACCCCATCTTATAGGGTAATGACTAAGCATACTTACTTAAAACATATAGATTCAAGTTAAGTAAAATAATTTAACTTTATTAATCATAACATAGTTGCAGAAGCATTACATCATTTAAATATAAAATATAAACATATATACGAGACTCTAAATTTCCTTACTTACATTACTAAATAAAAGTACGAAAATAATAACTTTAGTATTAAAGTTTAGCTTCAAAATTTTTTTCTATATTACCGTTCACTATACATCAGTATCTTCAATATCTAAAGGATAATAGAGGAGTTGAGATAAAATATCTTAATAAACAATATTATGAAATCATAACATAATACATTCATTATATAATTTTTTTACACATAACAAAACATATATCATATAATCTTTTTAAAACATATACGAATTAGAAGACGAATACACAAATCAGAAAATAAATTAACAATTGTTTCATTGTATACTTAATCACTATTATGAATGATCAATCAGTTACCATACATTATGTATATGCACAAATACTTATCACTGATTCTCTATGTACCTGAATACGGAATGACATACATGAGTACCTTGAAACATTGATACCTCTCAAACACAAAATGCTTAGGGCACGTAGGTCAGACTGTTTTTTTATACACTCGAATATGAAACGATTATGTACGGGCACACACTTCTCACTTTACTAATATATCCGAACATGGAATAGTTATGTATTGTCATATTGAAGCCTAGAATAATGCAGGTATTTTCAGAACAACTTTTTTCCATAATTAGCGATGCACACATATCAAAATCACATTTTGAAAATATAAAGTAAAATAACACTTATATCGAAGCAAAACTTTAATAAATACTTACTTAGAAAATACGAAAAATAAATTAAACACTTGCACATTTTTATACTAAAAATGTAACAACTCGGAACCATAAAGAAAATAAATTATAAATTGAATGTGGAAATAAAATAATAGCGTTAGAATTTATATTCCTTATACAATAATTCAGAATACCAAATAGGGATACGGGAATGACCATTCTAAAAAAATAACAAAAAATTAAAGAAATAAATAGAAAGTAAATAACTGGATATCCTATTCGCAACCATCTTGTGGATCGAGATCTAGATCTTGGTCTTCTTTATATGAAATTATTAATGAAAGAGTGAGCTACACTATCCTAGTAAGAATATCATACTACTCACCGATACAGAAATGAAGGTTGGTAAAAATTATGAAAATAACTAATGAAGCTCTTAAATTAATTAAATTTATTTATCATAAGTAAAATCATCCATTATATACTTACCATAGTAAAATTTTCAACATTTAATTTCCAGTTTAACAATTTAAAGCAAAATTTCCAACATTTAATTTTTATTTTCACAATTTAACTATAAATCATACAAAATAAACAATACATGCATCAAGAAAATACAACTGAATCATCTTACCAACTCTAGTGTATTTTTATGCATTTAAAACTGTAAAATCAATCAATCAGTTAAAATATAACAAACAATAATAAATAACTGATTCCAGCTCTATTAATAACATATAATTAATTATTGAAATTTTTTAAATTATGCAAAATACCGTATTATTTATAATTAAACTTCAATTTTATAACAAGAAATAATGTGAGGGATTCTTACACGAATCGGTGTCCGAACACTAAACTTTTAGTTGCACCTACTGGCGGTCCCTGGGTTCTCTGAAATTTTCTTTGGAGATTAAAACAAGCTTCAAGTACCTAGAAATTGTAAAGAAACACTCATATGATTTGTAAAAGTTGTTTTATTAAAGGAAACTACAGGCCTTTTATATAGCCTTGTTACACAGAAATGAACTTTTAAACGTTAACTTACTAACAACACAATAAGATAGCTAATAGATTAGAACAAAATACGAAATTACTTCCTATAGAATAGGACTTATTAACAAACTTGACTAAATCAAATAACAAACTCAACATTCCCTCCCTTAAACTGTATGTACATTCAGTTTAAAGTAGGAACTTCACAGATGCCCAGCAACTTACGAAGCTTTAAAAATACTTCCAATTTGAGTGGTTTTGTTAGAATATCAGCAGCTTGGTCTTGGGTATTACAATGCCTTAGATCCACCACCCCATCTCGAACTAATTCACGAAGAAAATGGAACCTGATGTCAATATGTTTGCTTCTTCCATGAAGAACAGGATTCTTTGACAGTTTTATAGTTGAACTGTTATCACATAAAATTATAGTAGATTGTTCCTGTATGAACCCAAGTTTTGCCAAAATTCTTCTTAACCAAATACATTGACAGGCACATGAAGCAGCTGCAATATATTCAGCTTCGGTGGAAGATAAACTAACCACAGGTTGTTTCTTTGATGACCATGACACAGCTCCAGAACTAAGCATGAATACATATCCTGTCGTACTTTTTCGATCATTCAAATCTCCAGCAAAATCACTGTCCGAGTAACCTGTGAGCTGCTTGTTTCTTCCTTTCTTATAAAGAATTCCAAGATCAGTTGTGCCTTTTAAATACCTCAGCATTCGCTTTGCAGCCAACCAATGTTGCTCGGTAGGACATGACATGAATCTACTGATAAGACTTACTCCGTACATTAAATCTGGTCTGGTGGCTGTTAAATACATGAGACTGCCAACCACTTGTTTGAACAAACTTGAATCAACTTCAGTTCCCTTCTCATCTTTTGACAACTTGCAGCCAGGAACTATTGGGTTCTTCACAAAGTTGCTTCTGTCCATGCCAAATCTTTCTAGCACTTCATGAGCATATTTTCTTTGACAAATATAAATCCCATCAGAATGTTGCAGCACTTCAATCCCCAAAAAGTATCTCATTTTACCCAAATCAGTCATATCAAATTCTATCATCATTGACTTCTTAAATTCTTCGCACAAGTTGCTGTCATTACCAGTAAATATTAAATCATCAACATAAAGACTGACGATTAAGAGTTTACCTCCTCCCGTTGTCTTTGTGAATAAGGTGTGCTCGTGATGACACTTATCAAAACCCTCCTTGACAAAATGAGCTTCAATTTTGTTGTACCAAGCTCGCGGAGCTTGCTTAAGACCGTACAAGGCTTTATTCAGCTTATAAACCTTGTCTTCCTCGCCTTTCTTCTCATATCCTTGAGGCTGCAGGACATACACTTCCTCATTAAGCTCCCCATGTAGGAATGCACTTTTCACATCAAGCTGAAATATGTTCCAACCTTCTCGAGCTGCTATGGCGATTATCAACCTTATGGTATCTAATCTTGCCACTGGAGCATAAACTTCTGTATAATCAAAACCATATTGCTGTGCATATCCTTTTGCTACAAGTCTAGCTTTGTACTTGTTGATAGCACCATTTTCATTGAGTTTTGTTTTAAAAACCCATTTAACTCCAATCGGTTTCACTCCTTCAGGCAAGTCAGTCAAGTTCCACGTTTTGTTCCGTTCAATAGCTGCAATTTTTGAATTCATGGCATCTCTCCATTTCTTACTTTTTACTGCTTCCTCAAAGGTAATAGGATCACCTTCTATCAATACTGTCATGGCGCTCAAATCTTCTTCTTCTTCCGATAAACCTTCTCCACTTTCGTAATTTTGCATCCAGTGTGGAGCTCGTCTTTCCCTCCCTTGAACTTGACTCTGAGAGTTCCCATCATCTGTGTCGTTAGATGACGGTGTACTGCTACATGAACCAGTTGCTTGATTAAGAGATGATAAGCTTGTGCCACTTGAATCAGCTTGTGTTATTCTGTTCTCCTCTACCCCAGGTGTTCCATTTTCTACTGCATCTCCTTCCTCAATATCTCCCCAATCCAGCAAATCCAAGGCCTTTTCCTCTTTGCTCATATTCCAATTCCATTTTTCATTCTCCTCAAAAATGACATCCTTGCTAACAACTATCTTTTTAGAAATGGGATCATACAACCGATAAGCCTTCAACTCATCACTTACTCCCAACAAAACACATTTGAAGCTTTTATCATCTAACTTGATTCTCTTCTGGTCAGGTACATGCACATGGGCCAAGCAACCAAAAACTCTGAAATGTTGTATAGTAGGCTTCACACCACTCCATGCTTCCTCCGGAGTTCGATCTTTCACGGCTAAGGTAGGACACCTGTTGAGGACGTGCACACACCACTTAGTTGCTTCTGGCCAAAAGATCTTTGGAACTTGCTTCTCTGTTAGTATACATCGCACCATGTTCATCACAGTCCTATTCTTCCTTTCTGCAACTCCGTTTTGCTGAGGAGTATAAGCTGCTGTCAATTGCCTGGATATGCCATTTTCCTTGCAAAATGCCTCAAAATCAATCGAGGTGAACTCACCACCTTTATCAGTCCTTAAACATTTAAGGAAAACATCTGCTTCCTTTTCAACATGAGCCTTGAATCTTTTAAAAACAGTAAGAGCCTCCGATTTTTCATGTAAGAAATAAATCCAAGTTTTACGGCTGAAATCATCAATAAAACTTAGGAAATACCTCTTATTACTATTTGATGTAGGTTTGATAGGACCACATATATCAGCGTGCACCAACTGAAGTTTTTGTGTTGCCCTCCACAGACTTCTTTTTGGAATAGCTTCCTTGTGTTGTTTTCCGGCTAAACAGGTAATGCACAGCTTTTGAGGTTCTGTGAGTGAAGGCAAACCATTCACCATCCTTTTGTTTTGAAGAGTTTTCAAGCCTTTGAAGCTTAAATGCCCAAACCTGCGGTGCCACAAATAATTCTCATTTCTGTTACTGCTTGAAAACAAGTAGTAACTTCAGGTTTCATGTTTGCAAGCAAAACAAACATTCTGTTTGCACTCATTTCAGACTCAATAATCAGGCCCTTACTAGGATGAAAGACTTTGCATTTTCCATGCTGAATTAAAATTGACACACCTTTTTCTTGCAGCTGCCCCATACTCAACAAGTTATTTTTCAGCTCAGGTATGTAATAAACTTCAGATATTACCTGAGTGATTCCTTTGACTTGCATCCGAATATTTCCCTTCCCCATAACTGACATCCTTGAATTATCCCCTAGCTTCACGGTTTGCCTGAAGTGGACATCCAAATCGGAGAACCATTCTTTATTCCCACTCATGTGATTGCTACAACCGGAGTCAAGGAACCAAATCTCTTCTCTTTGTGCTTGGTTAAGCTCAACATACGACATCAATAACAGCTCTTCTTCTTCATTTAGTTCGGCATAGTTGGCTCCAATATCCCTTTGAGGACATTCATATTGGAAATGTCCTAAATTGTGACAATTAAAACACTCAACAGTAGCTTTGTTGAATTGTTGGGCACCACGACCTCTTCCTCGACATCTTCCTCTGAATGAGCCACGATCTCGACCTCTACCTCTGTAACTGTACTCATGACTGACCTTAAGAGCCTGCTCCTCTTCACGATGGCCATTCATTCTTTGTTCATGAACTAACAAGCTGCTTTGCAATTCATCAATCGTCATTGTATCCAAATCATTGGATTCTTCGATAGAGCATACCACATAATCAAATTTTGAGGTCATGGACCTCAAGATTTTCTCAATGATAATTGTTTGACTCATTGTCTCACCATGAGCTTTCATTTTATTAGCTATAGTGAGAGTACGAGCAAACAAGTTGTCAACAGTTTCGCCTTCCTTCATGCGGAGTGTTTCAAAGTCTTTCCGAAGTGCTTGCAATTGTGCCCTCTTCACCTTGTTGGAGCCTTTGTATTTTTGTTTCATTGAGTCCCAGATGCTCTTTGAGGTGTCCTTGTTGAGAATAGTTTCCAGAATAGTTCGATCAATGGCTTGAAAAAGGTAATTCTTTGCCTTTAAATCTTTCAACTTTTCAGTCTGCTGATTTGATTCCCCTGATATCCCATTCTCAATGAGATCCCAATATTCTTTTGAACGAAGAAAATTCTCCATCATCATCGCCCAATGATCATAATGGCCATCAAATTTGGGAATGGCCGGTTGTACAAATCCACTGCTACTGCCTTCTGCCATATTATTTGACTCTATTTACTCAATAGAAAAATCTGCAGTTTTTCTATTCACACAAACACTCACAATCAGGCCCTGTTATATGGCTCTGATACCAAATGTAAAGAAACACTCATATGATTTGTAAAAGTTGTTTTATTAAAGGAAACTACAGGCCTTTATATAGCCTTGTTACACAGAAATGAACTTTTAAAGTTAACTTACTAACAACCCATTAAGATAGCTAATAGATTAGAACAAAATACGAAACTACTTCCTATAGAATAGGACTTATTAACAAACTTGACTAAATCAAATAACAAACTCAACAAGACCCATTTTCCCAGCACGCGTTAGTTTTGTTCTTTGATCACTAAGACTCTTCTCTTTAATTAATTGCTTTCTTGTAATCATGATTCTTAGCTGAATTCGGTGGTTCATGGGATAACCAAGAACTAAACGGAAAGAAATTGGAACAGATTCGATACAAAATTTCGACCCAGTAAAGATCCCATTATCTTCCAGCCAAAACTATTTACAGAAACGATATACCATTAATCGCCAAAAAGATAGCAGAATATGCCATTCTGCAACATGATTACATATACCCATTAAGCATCTAACCAGGGACTTAACCTAATCTTCATCGCTAGCTCCATCTTTATCGTTCCTTGCATCTCCTTCAAAACCATCACCCAGCTCACAAATCCTCTTCCACACATCCTCCGAGACCGGAACAACCGACAACCGAGGCTGTTTGAGCAGCTGAAAATCCTTCAACCCACCATCCTCCTTCATCTCCTTCAAATCCACCATCATCCTCATCTCCCCGACCGCTCTCACGTCCACCGCCACCCCACCGTCGTCCTCGTACCACTCGCGCTCCACATTTACGACGCCCACCACGCGGCGAGCACGGGCGCCTGAGTGGTAGAAGAAGCAGAGGTCATTCAGCTTCATGGACTTGAGGTACTTCTGGGCTTGCTTGTTTTTCACGCCATCCCATTTCGTTATCCCGCCGTTTGCCGCCTGGTCTTCCCACGACCACTCTCCTGGTTCTGTCTTTAAGAGCCAGAACTGCTGGTGCCCCGTCGCCTCCTTTTCACCCATCTTGTTTTCAGTGGCTCCAGTAGCGGTTTTGTTAGGTTTGGGTGGTTCTGGTTTCGGTTTTGCTGTTCGATGTTCCGGTTTCTGGGTTTTCTTCCTCATTTCAAATCTTTGGAATCCAAAGAAGTGAGAGTTGAAATGAAGAGAATAGTGTTCGTCATGGCGGGGTGATTCTGATTTTGGCGCCAGTATTTAATGGACCGCTTCTTGTTTATAAGCCACGCCTTGTAGGCCCAATAAAGTCAACATGTTAGGGCCCAGTTATGTTGACTTAGGCCCATTATATGTGAGGCTTGAATTGATTATTAAAGTAATAAAATAATTTATTTAATTAACTACTAATATTAAAATAGTTTGAAATTTATTTTATTTATAAAAATAAATAATTTTAGATAATTTAATATTATTCATTACAATTTTTTAATTTTAAAAAATAATTTTTTGGACTACGGATTATGGGCTCGATGTTGACGGCCATGAAATTCCGGAGGACTCTACAAAATCAATAACAAATAAGATTAAATTAAATTAATTTAATTTAATATTAAATTCAATTTTAAAGTTCATAAAGAAAATTAAATTATTATATTATTGTTTTTTTTCCTTATTTTAAATAAATGTTTTTATCATTTAATTATTATTTAGATGTTGGGCTAAAATGATAGATATGTTTGTTACCTAAAAACTAAATATTATTTTGTGAAATAATAAACTTAATTATAATTATAATCAATTAAAAACTATATACTAAGAAAATATTAAAGGAAGGTAAGAATTTCAATATTATATATATATATATGTGTATATAAGCCATCACTATGACATATTTTTCAATGGCATATAATTGTTACGGGCAAGATACATTGAGCCATAATAATTATATAAGTGGATAGAGTTTGATGGTAGCTATAAATCATGATTGTGACCATAAAGGAAATGTCACCTCTAAATTTTGTCACATTAAAAATGTAAGTAATTGCTCATTGATATCTTTGTAGCGTGATTAAATTATTTTTTATATATATATTAAAAAAAATAATTTAATATTTTAATTTAAAAAAAGAAGATAAAGTAATTATTAATATGCATCATGAAAGGTGCATTTTTTTTTTAATTATTATGTATAAAATTTAGGGTAAATTATAATTTTATTTTATATGGTTTATTTTTTAGTAATAATTTAGAATACATAATTTTTTATTATTATTTTTTGTTATTTTATATAAACTATTAATTTATATTTTTGTTAGATTTTAATTTTAAAATTAATTATGAAAAATAAAAACTTCACAATAAGGGAAATAAGAGAATATATCTAAATTAATTAGTAAATCACAGTACTCCATAAACATTACATCATGGTCTGTGAAAGCTATAAATACATACGTATATATATATATATATATATATATAATTACATAATTACACACGATATTTAATTAGGAATAAATAATATTGATTAAACAAAAATTAGTAATTAACATAAAGTTTTCAGTGCTTGTTATTTTGAGTATAAATGTAGTCTGTGTGAGCTTCGAGTGTTCTTCTCAGCAAGCATTCATCTTCTCCAATTCCATCGCAGTTTTCCTCTGCATCGTTATCCTGCAATTCAATTTTAAAACGTAATAAATTAATTACGAACTTATATTCAGGACCCACCCATTTTTCTTACTTTATTTTTTAAATTATATAAAAGTTTATAATTTTACACAAAGGGTTTAAAATAAACTCGTCTTTAATGATTGAAAAATAAATTTAATCATTAATAAATAAATTTAAGGTTATAAGCTACTGATTTATAATTTTGAAAGATACAAAATATGAAAAAAAATATATATATATACAACAAATATTATCTTATTCGTATCATGCATGTATATAATATTTAAAAATACATACATATATAAAGTGAAAATGTCTAATACAACTCAATGAAAAAAAAAATAGACAGATTTAAACATAAAAATGTGATATATTAATGGAAATAACACAAAAAAAATATCGTTTATTCTATTCGAATCGTGTATTTTAACTATATTTTTTCTTGTATTTATTAAGAACGTATACGCATATATATATATATATATATTGGTTCATAATAAAAGTATATATGTTTTCAATGAATCGGAATTAGACATACCTTGTTTGAAACCTCGATGGGTTTTGTAACACTGGAGAAACCTGAGTCCGGGCGAGCGGCATGTGTTAGAACAAAGAAGATAAGGAGGAGGAAGACAACCGTGGAAGTGGTGGAGACCTTGGAAGCCATGTTTGTTTCTGCTTTTTTCTTCTTCTTCTTCTTCTTCTTCTTGTTTTTCCTTACAAATAGAGCCCGAGAGAAGTTATAAAGAAAGATACAATGTAGATGATATTGTATGTATAATGGGTGTATTTATAGAGAGAGGAAAAGGGTAAAATTGGAATCAAAGTATCCGAGATTCTTCGGTTGTACTTGTTCCCATTTAATAAATATAAAACCTTGTTTGGATAAAATTAAAAAGGAAAAGGAAATAGAATGGGGATGCTATTTTTTGTACAGAGATGACTGGTTCCTTCTTTATCTTCTCGTGGGAAATCTTCTAGAAGCCATGAATTAGTTGATACTTAATTAATAGGTGTATTTTTAGTATATACACATATATATATTTTTTTTGGGGGGTGTGCATGAACACTAATTTTGGATTACTTTTAATTAGCACGATTAAGAATAGTTTTTTTTTTTTTTTTTTAATTACCAAATTATGACAAATAAGTTTGGAAAAAAGTAATTTATTAATTAATCTCAAACAATATTTTTACCAATTTAATTCTGATAACTTAACTAAAAGCTTTACTCTCTCTTTCTTTGATGGGTTCTTTAAAATAACTTGAGAAATACATCAAATTGCATTTGACGTTAATTAAAAAAAGTGACTAATCACATGATTTTAGTTTTTTAGGACAGCATGGTCAATAATTAAATCTTAATAAGTAACATGGTGAGTGGGTAGCATGGTCAACGCTTCTCCTAATTGGTTGTTTGACCCCAATTAATCGTATCTCTCTCTCTCTCTCTCTCTCTCTATATATATATATATATATATATATATATATTACAGGTAGTGAACAGTTGGTGCTCCTTGAGAATAGGGGTTGAACATTTATTTTGTTCATGTTAAATATATATATATATATGTTAATTTTTACTGTGGGAAGAAATAAATAAATAAAAAGGTAGAGGCAGTTCATAATGAGTTGCATAGGAATGAAGGAACAAACTTGTAATGGGGGAAGATTATGATGACTTTTGGCATGCTCACAAGCTTCCCTAAACTTTATGCAATTTCTACTTGTCACCCATTCAAGCAATCAGTGTGTTCAACAACAAAAAAGTCAACAACCATATTCTTTGCATACCCATCACAGAAAATTTCAATTGATTGTTTTGTTGGGAAAATAATAATAAAATTAAAAAAAGGTTCTTTAAATGAATAAAAATGCTATTTATTATGGATGGAATTTTGCTAGGTAGGTGATACAAAAATTAAAAGAGAAAAGTACATTAAAAAATTTAGTTACACTATAATTCCAAATTTCATATATATATATATATATTTAATATGAACCAAGTACAGTTATAGTTACACTATAATACTGAGTCCTATTATAATGTAAATTCTGTGGAATTTTTAATATGAAAATACAATCCTTCCGAATTTAAGCATACAAAATCTTAGGCAAATCAAACTACATAAACATAAATTTTAGAGTTATACATTAGAGTGATGTATTAAGTTGCAACTTCAGGGTAAAGTTAGCTCACCATCCTCTCCACTTTTCTAGTTATCTTCACGAGTTTCTTACAAACTTTTTTTTCTAATCGAACTTACTTCTGTCAATTTTGAGAGGAGTAAATGGTTGGCAGCTTAGTAGCTCATTTAACCATCCTTAAAATTTGTCTTTAATGTAGAGATTTCAGCCATACACATGGGACACTTTTATGGTTGAAAAAAGTTGTTCCCATTAATAATTTAACCAAGGAAGAACTCAGCATGGTATTATTGGATTTCACTTTAAAAAATAAGGGAAAAAATCTATGGAAATTTAGAAGAATTCTAGGCTCCTGCAACTTGGGTTATTATACAGGCCCAGTTAAGGCTCGTAATAGCCCCGTCGAATCAATGCTAATACACGGGGAGACTAATTAAACTAATATGTATTGTTTGAAACCCATATGAAATTCGATTTGCAAACTAATTTTCACCTTAATTTATTCCAAACGTAACCTCTAAATCAGAGAGAGCAAAATACACTTCTCAGGGTTCCTTAGAATCCTTGGCTCCCTATCCATCATGTTCCTCAATTTGTCAAGGAGATCACAAAAGGACAGCCAAAACATGTATTATATTTACTTTAGATTTTAAAAACAGAGTAAATTTATAGCATCATAATTTCATAAAAATTTATCCGTTGGTGTATTTTTTTAAAAAAAATATATATAAAGCAAACACCAACGGACAAATCAAGGTGTGGTAGGAAAACATTGATTGCAAATGATTAGCGTTTAGGAAATATACGGAGCGTGTGACCTCCTTCCACTGCACGACCCAGAGAAAAAAAAAATTGCAAAGCATAAAACAATCAGCATCAACCTTCTAGTCCCACACCTTAATAAATGTTAAGTCCTAAAGAAACAAAGAATGATTGTACCGGGATCCACACATGACCCAATCTACAAGGAACTAACAAGAGGGCCTCAGCATTCAGGAAGACTGGTTTAGGGTCTTAATTATCTACTAAAAAAGTATGGACTATGGTGGGGGGAATAATTTTTTTTTTTTAAAAAAATAACTTTGGGAAGACTAATTTCGAAACCGTTTATGCATTAGTATTTGTAGAACAATAATATTTAACAAAAATGATTGTTAAAGAAATAGTGTTCGCATCATAGGCTCGTCTTACACCAACAATAGCCTAAAGATATATACACTTATTATGTGTATGCACCTGTAGAATCAAAAGGGTGAATTGTTTTTTAGGGTTGTCCCAAACCATGTGCATATAAGACATGTTTATTGTGACTCCGGGTGTCAAGAACTATTTTGAAGCACAGTAGTTCAGATTTAACTTTTGGGGGGCATCAATCAATTACAAGACTACCTAGATGCTTACCTAGCTTTGGCTTTTTGTTTTTCTCTATCTTTGCAGCGTTCCATATTTCCATAAGGTTCTCAAATTTTTTTCAGTGTAAAACCATATATAACCAAACGTTCCTCAGTTTAAATTTCTTACCTATTCGTTTCTTTTCTTCTCTAGCTCCTCACATCCTTACTTGGCAGCTTTCCTTTCCTAACAAGTTTGCATGCTTAATGGCTTCCTCTGCATCTAAATCAGTATCCACAAAAAAGCTAAAAGAGCATCTTCAAGAGGCACAAGAGCCTTTTAGTTTAGGAATTTACCTTTCCGAACGAGAATACATGATGAACTGCTTGAGCTTTACCAGTAAAACCAGCTGCTGCCTCATGAGCTCACTTACAAATCTGAAGAGACCATGCAATAATGGCATCAACAAGAAAAAGATTGCTGATGCTATAAGGTACCTGAAGTTAATTTTATACAGGATCAGCTCTCCTGGCGATGCCCAGGAGTTGTCAAATTCCAGCAGTTCCAGTGGAGATGAACTTGTTTCTGAGAAAACCCAGCAGAGACAGCAGATTCCGAAAACAGATTGTATAGATCTTTTAACTTCACCTTGTCCCCTGTTTGAATACAGCTTTGAAGAAGATTCTTTGCTTTCAAAACATCGAGATGGCTCCCTTCTCACAAAAGTTACTCAAGCCTTTAACCTTGGAAATTTGAAACAAAAAGAGGTAATCCTATTCTCAAGGCATTTTAAACTTTGGTCAAATCTCAACCTGCAGCATTACTTTGTTCTATCTTAACTTCAGTTCCATAAAAATTAGAATAGATTGTTAAGGAGAGAAACCCTCAGTGGGTATGCAAAAGAAACAAGAAGCTATACAGCCCAGCATCAGTACTACAAGTAGTTTCATCCAACCAAGGTGAACAAAATCTATTGAAACAACATCTTGATTAATGGTTTCTAACAATATATTGTCATAACCCATTTTTTTTCAATGAAACAGAAACAAAACATAAAAAGAGTCCATCTACTTCACAAACTCTTTTGACCAGAGATGCCAACTGCAACCTAATGATAGCACCTTTTATATGGGAGTCAATAATGAACTCCATGATACAAAGACAGAATCAAATAGTTTCTGCAGAAGTAAAGAAAACACTTGAGCCGAATGGCTTTATATTCCAGAGGACCAAATGGGTCATGCACCGAAGTAAGGAACTTCTGTTTAATAGATTAAAAATGGTCATGAGACCTCATGGAAGGAAAAAGAATACACAAAAGAATATTAGAGACTTTCTGGGTCCAGAATATCTTGAAAACATCGCTACTGAGCAACTAATATCCGGGAAGAAAAGGTCCCAAAATGATGCAAAGGTCTATCAAATGAGTTTGGAGTCCTATGGCATATCTGAAGACTGGAACAACTCCAAATTACAAAGGAAGAAAGTAGGTAAAGAAATAGCAGATGGTATCACAGATGAGGTTGTCACAGAACTCGTTAACTTACTTTTGCAGTAAGCAAACATGTTATCCCTGATGAATACAACAGAAATGTGCAAACTAAACTCCAGATGCATGAATTTTCCGTCTTTTGTGTCAATATTATTTGCCATTTTTAGAAATGGAAAGATTATTGTTTATGCTTCCTCCTTTTAGAACTTGGGCCTCAAGGAAATGAGCACTGGAAAAAGGGAAGAAAAGCAAGTGAC